AAACTTTGTTAACAAGATTACACACAACCTGTTATTATGATCGTGAATGATTCAATTCAATTCAAAAATACTTTATTAATCCCAGAGGGAAATTAAGTGTTGTTGTAGCTCATCATCCTGGTTTCATTCAAGAGTTGTTATAGATGCTGGTAGCTGCGGGCAGGAAGGATCTCCTGCAGCAAATTCAAAGAATCTGGCCACAGATACCGATCCGTCCACCCTGATCCAGCTTGCTGTCAGATCTGGCGGGCCTCTCGGTCCTCCTGGGCAGCAGGACTGCCCGAAACCTCCTCGTTGCCACGGACATACAGCTGAAGGTGCCGGGGTGCGATCGCGGCACTCCCGTTGTCACGAGCGGAGTTTCCCAACAGCTCCATGAGCTCGATGGTCAGGTACTTGATCACCGCCGCCAGGTTGATGGGAATTCATCCACAGTGCCTCCTTTTCAACTCATTTGGGATTTGTGGCTGTAGCTGAGGTAGTTGAGCTTTTGAGATGTTAATCAGCTGCTCCTGGTTGTTAAAAAACAACTTGTTGCCACGGTTACGCATCATAATAAATGCCCAAAAGTAAAAAGGTTTCAGTAAAAATCCTTCCAGCTGCACAGCATCTGATACCAGAGGAAACAATCATCTGAAAAAATAGGTTTACATCCAGAAAGAAGAGGAATTAAAGTTTTCAAAAGCAATACCTCAGAATGAAAGTAACAGAGCTATACTCCAACTTGCAGCCAGCCCGAACGGCGCAATTCTAGATCTTGCATGAGGTGTAAATTTTTCAGTATGTGTTGTGAATGGCGATCAGCTAAAACCACATGAATGTACTGTATACCACAATATTTTCATAGTTGACTGAATTATAGCTGTTTCTGTAAATTCAGTTTGCTGCGGTAATCATCTTAAATAGTGTTTGCTCCAAAGGTCAATACATTGTAGAGGTCTATCCAATGATAATTTTCTAAAAGTTTCATTATATTCCATCTAATGGTTTATAAGATCTTTTTAACAAACTCAGTTGACCAGTATCCTGAGCCACTTTGGCCATGACTACTTCACACAAGTCGGCGGGGGAGAGGGCAGACAACAGAAACCACCTGAGCACCATCAAACTGTTTGACCCACTATAAGAAGGTGCTGTTTACAAGACCGAGTTTGTTGCAGCGCATCAGACTGATGAAGTCTTTTGGATAAAAGATGAAACGTTTCAACAAAAAGAAACCATCCCGAGGACCTGACTTAACTTTGTTAGACAGCTGACCAATATTTAATGGGTACGTTTTAATAACAGAGCATGTAATCAGTGGGCACTCGGAGTAAATGTTGATACTGAATCTCGACTACTCCTTTTTCTTTGTCGACCGTTTCATTCTGCAGGGGTCACCACAGTGTGCGAACTTGCATGAAACATTTAAAAATTGTTTTACATCAGATGCACTTCCTGATGTAACCTGGACTTGAACCTGCAGCCTCAGGATTATGAGCCATGACACTGACCAATGAGCTACCACCACTCCCCAAATCTCAGCTAATACACCAAATTTTAGCTCAATATCTGTAAAACTGCCGGAGTTATAGCTAAGGTCTATTAGCTGTGGCGTGAGGCTGACTCCAAAATATTTTCTGTTATAGATGTACATGCAACAATTCTTTTCTGAAAGTTTCATATATGATATTTTGCTAATAGACAGACAAACATCCAGCATTGCCACTAACAATAACAACGTTCTGAAGGCAAGAGCGTTATGTCTGCCTTTGTTTTTTTCCATGGAGGGCAATAATGACCAATTAATTTGCCTGTTTTCAGCCCAAAACAGCTCCTTTAAAAATAAGAAGTTTGCAGAACCCCATATTTACGATAAGTTTAAGCAGTTACACTGTTTGTTAGTTTATGTCAGAAAATATACATAAGTAAACAGCTGGTGAAAAATATTCAGCACATGCGCAGGTGTCGCTGCAGTCAAAGTGCAGATGTGCAAGTTTTGCTCCTGACTTCACTTTGGTTTGTGTTTGTCTTTTGCACCATTTACTTTACAGCAACTGGAACAAATATGTAACTTGTCATTGTGTGACTGGTAGGATGGCATTTGTGCACCTGCAGTAGATAATTTGAGGCGGTGAAAATACTGTGGTTGTGTGGGTGAAACACATTCACATGTCTGCAGCTCCTAAAGTACTTTATCACTGTAAATGTACTAACACACACACACACACACACACACACACGGTTGTTTTTTAGTTCTTTATAACTCGTTCAATTCAGTTGTTTAGTTTGAGCTAGCATTTTGCAATGTGTGTACAGTTCCTGGAACAGAATGACACTAAACTATAGTAGGTTTGGCTGAAATCAGGTTTTTACAGAAATATTTTTTTAAAAGCCAAGTAGATTTTGTGGCTCCATACATCTTTTATGTTTTGAGTGCAAAAGATGGTTAAAAGTCACTTTTAAACAAAAAAGGTTGCAAACCATGAGCTGAAGTACCCAAAGCCTAGCTCAAATCATCTCAAGCAAGCTAAAGCTAAAGTAGCACAAGGCTAGCTAAGGAACCCAAAAAGACAAATAGTGGGTTTCACTGAGAAAAATGTTTTTACTAAGCTGAAAGATTTCAATGTTTGTTTGTTTTTTGTTTGTTTGTTTTTTTGGACTGATGTAATTTAAAAAAAAAAGTTATTTTGGAAAGGTATAAAAACTAAAAAAATTAATTATACATAATTTATTGTTTAGATATACTTTCTTATTTTAGCATTTGGCTACATTTTTGGTTGTTTTAGCTAATTTCACCTTCGTGCTATGATTTTTTCCGATTTTAGCTTTTTGTTACAGTTTTGCTAATTTGCGATTATTGTCAAACTTTTGCAAATTTTAACTATTAGACATTGTTTTACTGTTCCTAGCCATTGACTTCTGTTTTGATTATGGTTTAGCTCTTTTGAGCTTTTTGATACTAGTCTGCTAATTTTGTTAGTTAGCTACAGTTTGGTGTGTTTTAGCATTTAACCACTGTTCTCCTTGTTTAATCTTTCAGTTTTCTGCTCAAATAAGCTTTTTACTGTTTAATTCAACTTTAACACTTCACATCAGCTTTTTCAGCAAATTTCAGCAAAGTCAGCAATATTTCAAATCAAAACTTTGTGCAATCTGTCAGCGCTCAGGTTTTGTGTTGTGAATTATTTTAGGCTCGTACATCAGGACTATTCAACTAAACTGCTCAGGGGCCCACAGTTACTGAGTTACAATACAGACTTGTTTTAACTGGCCATGAGGTAGTGCTCTGAAATATAAATGAAGTTTAGACAATTGTTGTTAAAACTACAAAAAATCGGTAAAATCGGTGTCTCGTGTAAGTATCGGCCGATCTGAGATCTCCCAAAATTAAGGAAATCGAGGCAGATTTATTGGTGCACCCCTTTGTTATTAAGTAAGTTTGCTTTATGGTTTAAAATCTGGACATTTAAAATCTGGACATGCTGGAGAGACTACGTCTCTCCGTTGGCCTGGGAACACCTTGGAGTCCTCCTAGAGGAGCTGGAAGAGGTGGTTGAGGAAAGAGATGTCTGAGCCTCCCTGCTCAAGCCGAAACCTGACTTTGCAATAAGCAGAAGATGAATGATGGTTTAAAATCAGTGGTGTAATCTACATATTTGTAGAGGGTATACTGTGCTTAGAAACCAATGTACATCCATTAGTACAATGTAATCATCAATTTATTTAGATTTTGAAGCATTTTGAACAATTTCAAATTTATCTGATGCTTATATTTGAATAAATGCACAACAAAATTTGTACAACAGTTGAATTTGTATTAAAAACATGTTATAGACTTTATAAAACAGTATCAAAGCAAAACATGTTCAAGTATTAAGTCCAGAATTATACAAGAGTTCGCTGGATAAGCAAATGTAATAAACAAGTGCTGCATATAGAGATTGTTACAGAAGCATTTAACTGACATTAATATATCAATGGCATATGCCTAATGATATGTCGAGTATCACTGGGCACTTTTAAGTGGATATACTGAAATTCATGAGCTTTTCCAGTGGGTATACCCGCGTATCACTACTTTGGGGAGTGGTGGCGCAGAGGTTAGAGATTGGAAGATCGCCGGTTCAAGCCCCGGTACCAACAACATTTTTAAAAAAATGTGGGTGGGGTAGGTGAAGCTCCTGCACACCTGCCCCCACCCTCATTCGCCCCAACCTGGGCTCATGAGCAAGGCCCTTAACCCCCATCTGCTCCCTAAACAGGTCTCTCTTGAAAATGAATTCTTGTGGCTCAATGAGACTACCTGGATAAATAAAGGGTAAGTGAAACTACACCATTGTTTAAAATCTAGTTTAATTTAAAAATGAACACACTGGTGGGCCAAACTGAGCTCACTCATGGGCCTGATTTGGCCCCTGGGCCACCAGTTGAATATCCCTGTTGTACACCAACCTTTAAGTAAATATCTGTAAAGCTGACTGACAGTCACTGAATTGTTACATTGGACTGGGGTGGCAGCCATCTTGACTAGGGTTGACTTCAAACGTCAATCATATAATATGTGCCTCCAGTGTTACTTTCTGGGAGTTTCATTCAATTCAATAATCAGGTCTCTCTTGTAAATGAGTCCTCAGGCTCAGTGGGATTTACCAGTCTAAATACAGGTTGAATGAATGAATGAATGAAAAATCCTGTCCAATTGTCCAACAGACATTCAGACAGACAGCCGTCAATAATAATAGCAGTGTGTAGAAGGCAGGATCCAGGGCTCGGTTCGGATCTCTGCTGAATCAGCAGGGGTGAAGGTTTCTTTGCTCAGTGATTAAGGGGGGAGGACCAATGGCAACAAAGGAGACGGAGAGGACGGAGGCTCCTCCTTTCCATCCCTCTCCCTCTGTGTGATTTCTACGTGTATATAATCCCTGAGCTGACCCAGAAAACGAACTCCTCCGACGGACCGAGCCGCCGCACAGTCTGCATGCGCCTCAAGGCTGCATGTACCCGGGGACGCATCAGACGGAAGGACGCGCACTGATCTGACTTCACGTGCACATTCCACCTCATCGCCTCGGGTAGGTTCTTTTCTGTTACTCTACAAGAATGGAGTGAGACAGCACTTCCTCTTTGTCCTGCAGACTATTTTATTACTTTAATATGTACAAAGCAATTAGATCTGATTACATGCGACACAACAAACTCTTCTTCTAACATGTATTACATACATTACAAGAAAACTATATATATATACA